GGTATCCTCGTCATCTCGGCGCGCAAGGGCGAGTTCGAGACGGGCTTTGAGCGTGGTGGCCAGACGCGCGAGCACGCGATGCTTGCCAAGACGCTCGGTATCAACAAGCTCGTCGTCGTCATCAACAAGATGGACGAAGCCAAGTGGGGCAAGGAGCGTTTCGACGAGTGCGTCGACAAGCTTCGCCCGTTCCTCCGCGTACGTTCCTTGGCATATTGTATCTGGCGGACGCTTTACGGATGCTGCTGTAGAGCTGCGGCTTTGCCGTCAAGCGTGATGTCGCCTTCATCCCGATCTCGGGCCTTTCGGGCGAAAACATCAAGACCAAGGTCGAGTCGTCGGTCGCGCCGTGGTACGATGGCATGTCGCTCATCGACCACCTCGACACGATGGCGATCCTCGGCCGCAACCCGCAGGGCGCGCTCCGTGTCCCTGTCCTCGACCGCTACCAGGAGCGCGGCACCATCGTGCTCGGCAAGGTCGAGTCGGGCGTCCTCACGACGGGCCAGAAGCTCGTGATCAAGCCGACCAACACGCGAACGACGGTCGCCCAGGTGTACATCAACGAAAAGCCCGTGCGCACGGCCAAGCCCGGCGAGAACGTGCTCATGCGCCTCACGTGCAACCTCGAAGACCTCCAGAAGGGTAGGTGGCCTCGTCGTCGTTACGGCGTCTCATGATACTAGGTTTCGTGCTCTGCCCGGCGCCGGCCGAGGACGTCAAGCCTGTCACGAGCTTTGTGGCGCAGATCGCGTTTGTCGACAACTTGGAGCACCGCCCGCTGCTCACGGCGGGCTACAAGGCCATTCTGCACATTCACACGATCGCCCAAGAGTGCACGATCTCCAAGCTCCTGGTGCGTTTGTGACACGATGGATGGATGGATGATTGTCGTCTGCTGTAGCGCCCCGTGGACCCCAAGACGGGCGAGATCCTCAAGAAGAAGGTCATGTTTGTCAAGACGGGCCAGAGCGTCGTGTGCCGCATTGAAGTCGACCAGAGCATCTGCATTGAGACGTTCGAGCACATCCCGCAGCTCGGCCGCTTGACGCTCCGCGACGAAGGCAAGACGATCGCGATCGGCAAGGTCATCAAGCTCGAGCCCAAGGAGTAAATGACGAGGACGAGGATGATGATAATGAACATGACGTACGGTCTATCTCTTGCTGGTGCTGCGATCGACCGTTGCTGTCATCGTTGCCTCGCATCGTCCGCGCCACCACGATCGGATTCACGGCGCGAGTCGCTCAAGCTCTTGGGTGCCATCGCATTCCAAGCGGTGGTCTTGTTGTGCATCATTGACGGGATTCCAGCTCGATTTTCGGCGTGCGTACGCTGATGGCCTCACCGAGAGAGGGTGTCCTGGCGTATACCTATGCCAGCAGAGCGTTGCGCGAAGCAGCGATGGGCGAGGGTCGGCCCGACGGTCCTTGCCGCGGGTTGTCCAAGCTTCGAATTAAAATCCTCGGTCGGTTTGGTGGTCCAAATACAATAGATTGCGTTTTTGATATTTACAAACATCCAGTACAAGAGCACGTTTTTGTAAAATAATATTATGGATCCCGGCGTTCGCGCGAGAGGTATGGCTCCTGATTGGTTCATTTGCCGTCGCGCCAACGAGCCATGTCCACGAAGCGCCTGAACCGGCCTACCGGCGGTGGGTCTGCATGGGCCAAGAACTCGCAGGGCGCGCGCTCCAACGTGGCCGGCCGCTCCATGAACGACGACAAGGCCGCGAGCGTCGCGCGGCAGGACGCCTTCGACCTCGCCCATGGCTTTGCGCCACTCCAGGACGACGACGGGCCGCAGATCGGCTGGTACACAACTGCTCCATGTACTGTCGCTATGCCTAGTGTCGTCGCGTAGGCTTTTGAACGCATGCAACACGTCGCGTACCGTCGAGAACGTCGAGCGCAGCGGCGTCGACCTCTACTTCCTCGCGCAGGACGGCAGCGCCTTCAAGGCCACGGTCATCCACGCGCCGTACTTTTTCGTCGGCGCCTCGCCCAAGCGCCTCGGCGAAGCACTCGCGTACGTTGCCTATCATATCGACGACGATGGCGAACGTGGTAGGTTCTGCCAACGGACGCTCGTCTCGACGCTGCTCTCGACGAGCATCGTGCAGATGGAGGACCTCGACATGCCCAACCATCTCTCGGGCACGAAGGCGCAGTACATCAAGCTCGTCTTCCGGACGGTGCGACGGGACCCACGAGGTTCATGCCGTGACGAGTCGCGTAGGTGTCGGACTTGGTCGAGGCCAAGCAGACGCTGCAGCCGATCGTGTCGCGCAACAAGCAGCAGCTCAAGTCCCAGGAAGCGTACGCGGCGTCCGGCGAGTCGCTCAACGACAACGAGTCGATCACGGATTTGCGCGAGTACGATGTGCCCTACCTCATGCGCGTGGCCATCGACCTCGGCATCCGCGTCGGCGCGTGGTACACGGTCCACGTCGACCAGGACGCGACCAAAGTGTCTCGGGTACTTTCGCCTGTCCGTCCATATATACATATCCAGCTCGGCTAGATCATGGACATGGTCGACAAGGCCGAGCCGGTGGTCCTCGCCTTCGATATCGAGTGTACGAAAGCGCCGCTCAAGTTTCCGGACGCGGCCCACGACCAGATTTACATGATTTCGTACATGGTCGATCGCCAGGTACACATCTTCTTTCCCGATTTCGTTCGTTTGCCCCATATTTTGTTGGGCTTTGCCGGATTTTTCATGCCTAAGATCTGGATTTGGACTGCATATATCGAGTGACGCGTGCTTTGGTAGGGCTACCTCATCGTGAACCGCGAGTTCGTGTCGCAGGACGTCGACGACTTTGAGTACACGCCGACGAAGGAGTACGACGGGCCGTTCGAGTGCTTCAACGCGCCGAACGAAGAAGCGTTGCTGAAGCGCTTCTTCTCGCACGTGACGGAGCTCAACCCGCACATCTTTGTCACGTACAACGGCGATTTCTTCGATTGGCCGTTCGTCGAGACGCGCGCGGCGGCGCATGGGCTCAACATGGCCGCCGAGATTGGCATTTCCTGCGACCGGAACGGCGAGTACCGCGGCAAGTGTGCCGTGCACATGGACGCCTACTGCTGGGTCAAGCGCGACTCGTATCTGCCCCAGGGCTCGCAAGGTCTCAAGGCCGTCACCAAGTACAAGCTCGGGTACGACCCCGTCGAAGTCGACCCGGAAGAAATGACGTCGCTCGCAATGGACGACCCGCTCAAGATGGCCAGTTACTCGGTCTCGGACGCAGTCGCCACCTTTTATCTGTATGTCGTTTCGACTGTGGACACATAATTGTCTGACGCAAGATGGTGTAGGTACGACAAGTATGTGCACTTGTTTGTCTTCTCGCTCTGCACGATCATTCCGCTCGGAAGCGAAGACGTGTTGCGCAAGGGCAGTGGCACGCTCTGTGAAGCGCTGCTCATGGTCGAGGCGTACGAAGGCAACATCATTTGCCCCAACAAGCAGACGTCGACGGCGCTCGGTTTGTTTGAAAAAATGTCTTATTGTCCAGACGCCCACATGTCGCATGTAGGCACATCGTACCAGGGCCACGTCGTCGAGAGCGAGACGTACATTGGCGGGCACGTCGAGTGCTTGGAGAGTGGCGTCTTCCGCGCCGACCTCGAGTACCAGTTCCACGTGACGCCATCGGCGTTTGACGTACTTGAACCATCGAATATTCATGGAGAACGTGGCATGACAGATCTTCTTGGCGTAGATGCTCATCACGCACATTGACCGGGACTTGACGTTTGCGCTCGAAGTGGAGCTCGACATTCCGCGCCATCACGTGACCAACTACAACGACGTGCGGCGCGCGATCGTCGAAGGCCTCGAAATGCTGCGGGACAAGCCGTCGCGCATGGAGAAGCCGAGCATCTATCACTTGGACGTCGCGGCCATGTACCCCAACATCATTCTCACGAACCGCCTTCAGCCGTGCGCGATGGTGCAGCCGACCGACTGCGCCGCGTGTGTCCACAGCACGGCATGCATGTCCACGTATGTTGTATCTCTATTTTCTGGATTTTTGGATTCAAGCCGAGTTTGTAGCAACGACGAGCAGCTCTCGTGCCAGCGGCCCATGGAATGGGTCTGGCGCGGCGACTACTACCCCGCGACCAACGCCGAGTTCCAGTCGATCCAGACGCAGCTCAGCTACGAGTCGTTCAACAAGGTGCCGTTCAAGCAGCTGCCGTATGAGAAGCAAACGTCGTTGATTCAAGAGCGCCTCAAGCAGTACTGCCAAACCGTGTACAAGAAGACCAAAGTCACGTCGACCGAGACGCGGTCCGCGACAGTACGCACTCTTTTACGGAAATGACAATGCGATTCGTGGCAGGTGTGCATGCGCGAGAACCCGTTTTATGTCAACACGGTCCGCGCCTTCCGTGACCGGCGCTACGACTACAAGATCTTGACCAAGCAGTGGACCAAGAAGCTCAAGGAGGCCGAGGCCAAGAACGGTATGAACCACATCTGATATTGTCGTATTTTCAAATTTTGTTGACGGAATTTGTTTGGCTAGACGTGCTCGGCAAGGTCGAAGCAGCCAACAAGTGCCTCGTCTTCGACTCGCTCCAATTGGCGCACAAGTGCATTCTCAACTCGTTTTACGGCTACGTGATGCGCAAAGGCGCGCGGTGGCACTCGATGGAGATGGCTGGCATCGTGACCAACACGGGCAGTAACATCATCCAGCGCGCGCGCCAGCTCGTCGAGCAAATTGGCCGCCCGCTCGAGCTCGACACGGACGGTATCTGGGCCATTCTGCCTGCGTCGTTCCCCGACACGTTCAAGTTCAAGCTCCAAGACGGCTCGACGCGGTACATGACTATTCTGGATGGGATTTTGCATCTTTTTTGGGGTGTAGCTCGATTACGTATCCCTGTGTGATGCTCAACGCCGACATTCAAGAGCAGTACACCAACCACCAGTACGAAGAGCAGATTGACGGTACGGCGGTCGTTTGGAAGACGACGCTTCAATGGTTTTTTGTCTAGGCATATACCAAACGCGCTCCGAGTGCTCCATCTTCTTTGAGCTCGACGGACCGTACAAGTGCATGGTGCTGCCGGCGTCGACGGAGGAAGGAAAGCTGCTCAAGAAGCGCTACGCTGTCTTCAACTTTAACAACAAGCTCACCGAGCTCAAAGGTCGTCAACGTCACAGCATCCTGGAACCCTAACCCATGAGGTTAGGTTTCGAGCTCAAGCGCCGCGGCGAGCTCGAGCTCATCAAGGCGTTCCAGAGCCAAGTCTTTAGCTCGTTCTTGGACGGCACGACACTCGCCGAGTGCTACGCGTCCGTGGCCCAGATCGCCAACCGCTGGTGCGAAAATGCGAAAAATGATGCAAAAAGTCAAAAATACACTTTTTCAATTGTAGGCTCGACGTGCTCGACACGAAAGGCCGTGACATGGAGGACGACGAGCTCATGGCACTCCTCACCGAGAACAAGAGCATGTCGGGCAAGCTCGAAGACTACGGCAGTCAAAAGTCGACGGCGATCACGACCGCGCGGCGGCTCGGCGAGTTTCTTGGCGCCGAGATGGTCAAGGACAAGGGCCTGGCGTGTAAGCTCATCATCGTCACGCGGCCATACGGCGAGAAGGTGACCGAGCGCGCCGTGCCGACCGCCATCTTCTCGGCCGAGCCCGCGGTATGCGATCGTTCAAAAGGACGATTCTGACAGGTTTTGCGCCAGGTGAAGAAGCACTTTTTGCGCAAGTGGATGCGCGACCCGAGCTTGCAAGACTTTGACGTGCGCAATTTGCTCGATTGGGACTACTACCGCACACGGTAATTTCCCTTTTCTTTCAGAGACACGCCCGGATCTCAAACTATTTGAGCAGGTTTGCGGGAACGGTCCAAAAGATCATTTCGCTGCCCGCGTGCTTTCAGAACATCCCCAACCCCGTCCCGCGCATTGCGCTTCCCGACTGGATGCAGCGCCGGTTCCGTGAACTCAACGACACGAAGCGCCAGACCAAGCTCGGGTACAATTCCTCTCCAACGTGGTCGCATCGATTTTCAACGTCCGCGTAGGTTCAAGGTCATTCCCCGCGACAAGAACGCAGACGTGGCCGACATAGAAGATTTTGGCGCGTTGCCCAAGCCCGTGCGCTCGGCGCCCCGTCCTGTGGTGACGCGGAAGACCAAGCCGGTTGTTGCAGCCAAGTGGACGATGCGATGGGCCTCGAGACCATCGATGAGACGGATTCTGTGGTCGAAAAGCTGGTGCGGCAAGAGTACACACGTGTGTCTTACCTATATGGCGCTAGCGGGCGGTGCAACTGGGCCAGGATGCGTTTCCCGAGTGGCTGCAGGTGCGCAAGGCTGCCTGGAAGGCCAAGCGGCTTGCGCGCAAGACTCTCCACGACGACCCACGGGTGCCAACGCCACCGCTTGGTCCGATGTGTATTGACGCGATGTAGGCTGCCAAGCGCGCCAAGGGCAGCGGCGTCGAGGGCTTCGTCGTCACGTCGTCGTCAACGATGGAGGACAACTTGTGGCACATTGTCGAGCTCCAAGAAACGTACGGTCGACGTAAAGCGTTGCAAGTCCATGTTGTATTGTCTAGGGAGGAGCCGGGCTTGTTTCACATTTGGGCGTGCACGTCGTCGGGCGCAAGGTAGATCGTCGTATGTCGTTGGACGTGATGGCATGGATATTACGCGTGTGTAGCAAGCTGCAGTCGTTTACGCTCAAGGTGCCCAAGACCATTTACCTCCAAGGCGACGTGGGCCACCTCGACGGACGGTTCGTGACGCGCCTCGTGCCGCACCAATCGGCGCCGCAGCTCGTGCTGCAGCTCGAGCTGAGCGAAACGCAGTGGAAGTCGAATCGAAAGGACGTGCTCCAGGCCATGGACGACGCGTCGATCCAAGCCGTGTACGAGTCCCAGGTGTCGGCAACGTCCCGCGCGCTGTGGACACTAGGGTACGCACGTCGTCTTTCACTAAGCAGACAAGTTGTACATTTGACTAGATGCGTCGCCAAGGTGCTCACGAAACCATCGAACGTGACGACACATCTCTTTACCCTCGGCGACTTGCAGCCCAAGAGCCTGTCGCCGGCCGCGTACCTGAGCGAGGTGCCTCTCGCATGAACATTGGACAAGTTGTCATGTGCGCGGTAGACCGCACCGCTGCAGCGCGTCGTGCTGTACATTGGCACCAACACGCGGCAGCAGGTCGGGTTGTGGAGCCTCGTCGTGCTCACGCCGTCGCTCGACGTCAAATCCGCGTCGCATTGGATGGTCGACCGTGGACTCGCGGGTATGTACTGTGTCTCGTTTCTTATATACTCAGGCTTAGGGTATCTAGACGTTCCGCTGCGGCAGAAGGACTGGCAGAGCCTCTGGACGGCGCTCGAGATGCCGTCGGCCTTGCCACCGATGAAGGTGACGATGGTGCAGTCGGTCGCGGAGGTCGTCACGGGTCTCAACGCGGCGCTCTCCAAGTGCCGCGACGTGCCCTCGATCATCATGGCCCACGCGCCGCAGTGGCTCTCGACCAAGAAGCTCCGGCACCAGTTCCGCGGCCTCGACGCCTTTCCGATGATCGTGCTCGGCGACCACGAGCCGTTCCCGGCGTTGACGTGGCGCTCGGAGCTGCCGCAGCGCCTCTTGCAGCGCGTTGCGGCCGTCGACGCACAGTGGGCCGACGTCCTCGACTGCGCGCGGTACACGCTTCGATCCCTGCTCCTGCGTTTTTGTCTTTTTGAAATGTAGCTATGCGCAACTGCCGCTTGGCAACATGACGGGCGACCCCGCGGTCGTCATGCTCGACGCGATGTTTGCGCGCGTGCTCCACCGGCAGCAGCATCTGCTCTGGGCCTCCTCGACCAACGTATGGGTCTTGCCAGAATCTGGTTGTATCCGAATGTACATGTGGTTAGACGCCGGACCTGGGCGGGCGCGAAGCACCAGCCGACGATTTGCTGCAGGCGTCGACGTCCAGTCTGCCCGTGTGTGTGCCCGGGGCATACGCCGAGTACAGCGTTGAATTGACGCTCGATGGGCTTGCGATCCAAGCGCTGCTTGTCGCCTCCGACTTGCACCACGACGGCGGCGCCGGTTGCCCGTCTTCTTTCAATGTATCAACTCATAGGTAGCGTGATGTAGGCGTGGTGGAGGAGCTCGGGTCGTGCGCCGAGACGTTCCGCTTTCTCCGAACGCTGACGACCAACCTCTTCAAGGACTTCATGGCAACGCGGTCCGAGATGGCCGACCACCTCCTCCAGCACTTTTACCGCTGGGTCTCGTCGCCGTCGTCGGTACGCACTCTCGATTTCGGACAATGCGTAATATTGTCATATAGCAACTGTACGACCCGGCGCTGCACAAGAAGGTCAAGGGCGTCATGCACACGCTGCTGCTCAACTTGCTCGCCGAGTGCCGCCGCCTCGGCGCCGTCATTGTGTACGCCGACACGTCCCGGGTGCGTGGGTGTCGTATCAATGTATCAAGGTATCCATCGGGCCGTAGATTGTGCTCTCGACGGGCAAGGACCGCCTCGACGGTGCCCACGCGTACGTGCGGTTCATTTCACGCACGCTGAGCGCGCACCCGTGGTACCAAGTGCTGAGCTTGACGCCGGTCCAGGTACACATCCTCCGTGTCCCGACCCGGTTGACGTTGACGTTTAGTACCTCTCGCACATGTTGTTTTACGACATTGAAAACTTTGGCGGCATGGCCGTTGCCGTCGACGCGACGGATCCGAATTTGCTCTCGAAGTGGAACATGGCGCGCTATCTGCCGCCGGGCGTCGACGAGTACTTCATGATTCTCGTCGGTCAGTTTATCAAGCGCCGCTTCGAGGTACTCTCGTGACGCGCGCGTGTCCTCGGTACTGACACCGCCTCGTAGTTTGCCACCAAGCACGACACCGCTACCTCGTACAAGCGTCTTCTGATCGACACGATCACTTAGACATGTGTATGTCGCTAGGGAGGACGTGGCGGCGCATGCGCAAAAGCTCATCACATCCTACTTTACCGAGAAAATGCTGCGTTTGGTGCCCGAGATCATGGCGCACTCGTCGCTTGCGTTCCCGGTATCGAACCCTGTACCGAATGGGTTGCGGCATGCAAGCGTAGGTGCTCGCGGGGTCGCACTTGCCGTGGACGCATGCCGCGCTCGAGCTCGTCAAGTGCGTCTGCCACGTGTGGAGCCTCGACCCGAACGTCGCGTCGCAAGTGCACCAGCTCAAGCGCGCGCTGCTCAAGACCATGGGCATCAGGTAGAGCTTGTCGTACATGTGGAAAAGTTGTCTGAGATGCGGTGGACGACTAGTGACTATGCGGACGAAGCGGCATTTGCCAACCCGAGTCAGTCGTTTGTGTTGCCCGACATCATTTGCACCAACTGCAACGTCTGCCGCGACGTCGACCTCTGCCGCGAGCCCGGGCTCATGGAGGCGACGCGAGACGACGAGAGTGAAGACAACTCTGCGTGGTACGTGGCCGAGCCAGAATAGGACAGTGCACATCTGGATCTAGGCAATGCCCTCGGTGCCACCACTTGTACGACATGGGCGACCTCGAGATGCGGCTGGTGGAGCTGGTCCAGACCCAGTTTTCGCTGCCGTACCAGCAGACCGACGTCGTGTGCCTCAAGTGCAAGCTGCCGACCGAAGGCCATTTGCGCCAACTCTGCGTCTGCTCGGGTACTTGCTTGGAAGAGAGAAATGATTGAACGAGCGTGACTCGTAGGCACGCTGGGAATCGCGCCGGACGTGCCATCGCAGCTCCAAAAAACGTTCAAGGTCGTGCGTCAGATCGCGACGCACCAGCAGTTTCCGTACTTGACCGAGGTCATGGACCGCCTCATGCACTAGGAGCTGTTTCTATCGACCACTTTGTTCGTAATCACCACAAACGAAAGAATTGAAACAAATCCGGCGCCCGAGACTGTTGATTACACACCCATGGCGCAGCATCGACACCTCGTAGCCAGATAGACCAAGACGCCCCTCGCGAAGTCGCCAAGCTGTCTCCGCTCCAAGGTGAGACTTATTCCGCTGGTGGCTGCTTGGGCGGTGCCAAGGCCGGTGGGCGCGTTGGGTAGTGCAGAGATCGCTTGGTCTGTGCTATCATTCGATGCGAAGCGGGGCTAGGGTATATACCGATAGTGTCGTTTGGCGGAATGAGATGCGGCTGGTGGATGCAATGTCGTGTCTTTCCTATACTTGGTTCTTCGAGTGGCAAAATCTGCTTCGAGAAATAGATTACTCAGGTGATGATTACGGTAGTGTCTGTAAACTTTACACTCAGACTATGAAACAACAAGGCACGATCGTCCGACCGTTTAGCCGTAGCGCGGGAGCTCAGCACCAATGCCGTTGCCAGTCGGGGTCGGGCGGTGCGGGTGGTGGGGGCGATGGGGCCGACGCGTCGTGCGGCAGGGAGCAGGCGTCGGCTCCTCCGTCGGCTCCTCAGTCGGGTACTCGGTGGGATCATCCGACGGCTCATCCGAAGGCTCGTCCGACGGTTCATCTGACGGCTCGTCCGACGGTTCATCTGACGGCTCATCCGACGGCTCATCGGAAGGATCGTCCGACGGCTCGTCCGAAGGCTCGTCCGACGGCTCATCCGAAGGCTCGTCCGACGGCTCGTCCGAAGGGTCGTCCGACGGCTCATCCGACGGCTCGTCCGACGGCTCGTCCGAAGGCTCGTCCGAAGGCTCGTCCGATGGCTCATCCGACGGCTCGTCTGACGGCTCATCAGACGGCTCGTCCGACGGCTCATCCGAAGGCTCATCCGAAGGCTCGTCCGAAGGTTCATCCGAAGGTTCATCCGAAGGTTCATCCGAAGGCTCGTCGGAAGGTTCATCCGACGGAGCATCGGTGGGGTACTCGGTCGGCTTGCTCGTAGGACCCGCTGTGATCTTGGGGGTACGCCGGCATCTCAGCCACGTTGCACATGCCCTTGCCGCCGACGCCGCGCTGGAGCTTGATGTAGCCTTTCTCGCCCCAGTTGGCGCCCCACGAGTTGCGGATCTTGAAAAAGTCCTTGCCGCTCTCCGAGCCGTACCCGACCGCAATCACGGCGTGGTCCGACTGCGCGCCAGAGCACTGCGACACGACGCCGCCCTTGTAGTACTGCCACACGTCGTTGCCAGCCTCGACGGCCACGGCCACCGGCTGCGTCTGCAGCGCGGTCTCGAGCGGTCCCTCGCCCTTGATGCTGACGGTGGCGCCGATCGCAAGCTTGTGCTTGGTGCACGACGACTTGCACGAACCCGTGTTGCCCGACGAGCCGGACGTGTACGGGTAGTCCTTGGAGAGACAGAGACCGCCGTTGTCGTGGATCCACGTGATGGCGCGGTCTTCGAGGCCGCCGTCGCAGCCGTTGCCCGCACTCGACGCGCAGCTCGTGGTCTGCTGGTCCGAGAGGTCGAGGAGCGTCCCAGTGGCAATACAGTGCGCCGACTCGACGGTGCCAGTGCCAGAGAAGGCCCAGCACGACCCGCAGCTGCCTTGGCTCTTGACGGGGTTGACGCACTTGGAGTCCGTGGTCCAGTCGACGCTGCCAGTGGCCGACGCGGCGCCGACGCTGGCCCAGTCGACCTTTTCGGCACGGAGCGCCCGCTTGCCGCGCTTGAACGACTTCATGACGTAGTGCTTGAACTCGTCCTTGGTGAGGAGCGCGAGCGGCGAGAGGTGGGTGAAGGTGGCATCCGGGTTTTCCTTGGCGAGCTCGGGCACGCGCTGCTTGGCGGCCTTCATGCGGCCGAGGAGCTCGTCGTTGGACTCGCTGATGGTGAGGCCTTCGAGGGGCGGGAGGAAGCCTTCGGTGAGTGCCTCTTGGCCGAAGAGAGCCTGCCACTCCTTCAAGTCGGCCGTGAGCTCCTTGCGCTCGGCGGGTGTGAGGTCGGCGCTGGCCGCGACCGCCGCCAAAGTCGCAAGAAGGTAAGCGGTGCGCATGATGATGGCGTTGTGAGGATGAACGGAAAAGGAAAAGTGAATGAGCGCAACGATGGCACGGCGGACTCGCTCCATACGGCGCCATCGAACACCGCAGTAGCACGATCGACGGGCCAAGAGCGCGCTCTGTCCCGCCAGGCACTCTGGCTTGATGAGCCAGATGGTTTAGTGTAAGAAGTGACGCGTTCTAATCTTTGAAGAGCCTCAGACCATTCTCAGACGATAAGCTTTTCGGAGTTGGCGTCGACTCGTTGGAGGCAGGAAACTCCCCGTGGACGTACACCGGAGGCTTTGGCCGCGTCGGTACCAGCACGTACGACTTCTTGTAGCGTCAGTGCCATGAGACGCTTCAACCAGGGTCGGTAGAGAGGAAAAAAGCTGTCGATCTCTCGTCAGGATTCGAACTCGCCACATTGCACTACACTGATTGCCTTGCATAGCATCGCCGCCTCGCAGCTTTGCAACGCCAACGTAAAGGAGCGTGCGTGCATGCGTCAACGAAAACAGCTGTGTTCGGTGGTCGCTGGCTTTCTGGATCCAGTATCGCCGTTCATTCTGAGGATCGGCCGTGACGCGGCGCAAATCAGATTGCATTTCCTGAGTAACGTCGTGTCAGATGGGAAATGCGATCCCAACTCAGATTGCACTTCCTAAGCAACGTCGTGTCAGATGGGAAATGCGATTCCAACTGCAATCCCTTGCCGACCGCACGTTTTTATTGTAGAACAAAACGTGTCTATAATCGAAGTTGTTGCACCACTGTCGAGGTCGCGTCAGCACGGGTTCGAGCACGATCCTTCTCGACGCCTGGACGGCGATGTACCTTCCATCGCACGGACTTGGGTACCACTTGGGCTTGACCCGTTGGAGGTCGGAGGTCGAGTCATGCGTGTGCATAGCAGTACGGGGGTGGTTGCTATCGCAGTCGGGTTGGTATGGGAGCCAAGTGTTGGTTTGAGCTTTACGCTCTTTCATCCTGTCGAGAATGCGAGACATCGATGTAGGATGCTCTAGGGCATCGCAGGAGCGGAGGCGCCGAGCGATACTGACACGAGTAGTATCCGCAGCAGTAAGTCCTGTCGTCCAAAGCAGCTCTGTTTGGTGCTCGTCGATTGCGTCAAGGGCATCGATAGCGCGCAGAAGCAATGATGGTTTGTATTTCAATTGTGTTGTCGAGCCGTTTTGAAGGACGCGTGTATCCAAAATCTGTGTCGGAATCCTCTTACGAAGGCGCCTCGCTAACTTGGTACGGCGTGGTTGAATGATGCATACGTACGTCGTCGTCGGTACTTCTCCTCTGCTGCATTTTGCAGTTGTTGACGAGCACCATTCCCTAATAGAAAGAAAGTTGGGCGGCCCAGCCAATCCTCCCGAGCTCGCGTCCGAGAAAAATAAGTCGCAGCACAGAACGAGCACCGACGCATGGCTCTTACCGCACCCACCCACCCACCCTGCTCTCTCCAGCACCACACACGCACGTCCAGCCGCTTCAATTTCAGCACCGATGCAGCATGTAACGTATTCTAAGAACGAGATCTACCCCAACCCTAACGTATTGAGGAATGGCAATCATCGATCCCATGCATCGATCCGGTGGCTCTACCTCCTGTCGACCTTGCATGACCCGAGCACCTTCTTTGCCTCAAAACAGCAGCCGTTTCTTCTGTGCATGCCTTTGAGCTGCGGTTCTCAAGCCCATTCCCACTTTTCCTTTTCCATTCATCCTCACAACGCCATCATCATGCGCACCGCTTACCTTCTTGCGACTTTGGCGGCGGTCGCGGCCAGCGCCGACCTCACACCCGCCGAGCGCAAGGAGCTCACGGCCGACTTGAAGGAGTGGCAGGCTCTCTTCGGCCAAGAGGCACTCACCGAAGGCTTCCTCCCGCCCCTCGAAGGCCTCACCATCAGCGAGTCCAACGACGAGCTCCTCGGCCGCATGAAGGCCGCCAAGCAGCGCGTGCCCGAGCTCGCCAAGGAAAACCCGGATGCCACCTTCACCCACCTCTCGCCGCTCGCGCTCCTCACCAAGGACGAGTTCAAGCACTACGTCATGAAGTCGTTCAAGCGCGGCAAGCGGGCGCTCCGTGCCGAAAAGGTCGACTGGGCCAGCGTCGGCGCCGCGTCGGCCACTGGCAGCGTCGACTGGACCACCGACTCCAAGTGCGTCAACCCCGTCAAGAGCCAGGGCACCTGCGGGTCGTGCTGGGCCTTCTCTGGCACCGGCACCGTCGAGTCGGCGCACTGTATTGCCACTGGGACGCTCCTCGACCTCTCGGACCAGCAGACCACGAGCTGCGCGTCGAGCGCGGGCAACGGCTGCGACGGCGGCCTCGAAGACCGCGCCATCACGTGGATTCACGACAACGGTGGTCTCTGTCTCTCCAAGGACTACCCGTACACGTCCGGCTCGTCGGGCAGCACGGGTTCGTGCAAGTCGTCGTGCACCAAGCAAAAGCTTGCGATCGGCGCCACCGTCAGCATCAAGGGCGAGGGACCGCTCGAGACCGCGCTCCAGACGCAGCCGGTGGCCGTGGCCGTCGAGGCTGGCAACGACGTGTGGCAGTACTACAAGGGCGGCGTCGTGTCGCAGTGCCCTGGCGCGCAGTCGGACCACGCCGTGATTGCGGTCGGGTACGGCTCGGAGAGCGGCAAGGACTTTTTTCAAGATCCGCAACTCGTGGGGCGCCAACTGGGGCGAGAAGGGCTACATCAAGCTCCAGCGCGGCGTCGGCGGCAAGGGCATGTGCAACGTGGCCGAGATGCCGGCGTACCCCAAGATCACAGCGGGCCCTACGAGCAAGCCGACGAGCAAGCCAACCGGTAGCCCTACCCCCAAGCCGACGACCAAGCCGTCGGAAAAGCCAACCGAGGACCCATCAGATGAGCCGTCGGACGACCCGACGTCGGCCCCGACGAAGCGCCCAACGAAGCGCCCAACGAAGCGCCCAACGAAGCGCCCGCGCACGACGCGCCCCAAGACGCCGTTCCCGTCGGACGATGATTTTGGTGTCGATCTGTAACCGCTCGAAGATGAGCGCTTTTAGATGTCCGTCCTTTACACGTACAAATGTACAATTTTGTCTTGATTAGTTGCGCGTTTTCTGTTTGCGTTGAATGCGTTAAACTACAGGAACAGGACAAGCAGATAGAGGAGAATTGCACACGTCCACGTCCACCGCCTTCATCAATTCTTTACACAATCGCGTGAGGACGAGTAGCCTCCAGGGAGCGTAGGTCGGTAGCGACTGGTCTTGACTGAACTCGTAACTACGAACACCACATTCTAGTCCATCTCTACACTATTAATACAATCGCATTCGAATCGCAGCATTCGGCAAAGTGAAAGGGTCGTCGAACCTCCCAACGCGGCAACTTGCCGACTTTATCGCTCAGCTTTAAAACCGAAGTTCGAACCGGTGTGCGTTTCAACATATTTTGACAAAACAGGGTGGCGTCGTAACGCCAACGACAAATAGAGAGCTCCAAACGTCAACTTCGGCGCTGCGGTACCCTTTCTGCGATCAAACGACCGCAGCCAAGCGGGCTTTCCCTCTTTTGTTTCGATAGCGTTCAAATCTCCTACGTGCGACCGGCATAGTACCCACATACTCTGTACGGTTGGGATGCGTCTGGACTCATCCCATTCGCTGACGAAGCTTAGAGAGCGCAGTCGTGCGACCCAAATGGGCTGCGGCTGCCAAGTTGCGTGCGACTAGCCCAGCGGCTGTCGAAGTTCGAAGTCCGGCAGAGGCACGGACGCAATTGGCACAAGGCCGTTGTCGCCGCCTGCTGGAACCACGTGGTCGCGAGCGCAATCCCAGCGTCGCGAGAGTCGACGAACGACGTCGGTCGCCGGGCGCCGGCCATCCATGCCCTCCACCAAGATGAAGGAGTACATCATGCACAAGCTCTTTGAGCTGCCCAGCTACACGCCGATCCGCGTCTTCCAGCGCCGGTCGACGTCCGCGTCCGTCGGGGATACGCCGTCGTCCGAATGGTTTGACCACATCCTCGACGAAGCGCACCCGCTACCCGAAGGCCTCGTCATGGTGTCACCCGTCATGACGCACGCGGCCTTCCAGTCGCCGACGCCGCCGTCACCGCCGGGCACGCCGACGCGGCCGACGCGGTCGTTCTCGCTCGATACGCACCTCTCGAAAGGCACGCGCTGGGCCGCCGTCAACGGCCTCCAGCAGCGGATACGTGCGCGGCTCACGTGGACGCGGCGCCGGTCTGCAGACGACGCGTCGCTGCACCATGACGCGGACAGCGACGATGACACTGGCGTCATCGTACCGAGCGTCATCATCGAGACCGTGCACGGCGAGAAGCACCAAAAGACATCAGCGAACGCGTCGACGCTCGAGTTTTACGACGCGACGACGTCGATCTCGTCGCCGCCGCTGGACGCAATCTCGGAAGAGGACGACGGGAAGAAGCACATAACGTTCAGCATGGCGCCGATGGTCCGGCACATGTACTTTGCTGTCGAGAGCTACGAGGAGTGGGTCATCCGCGTCTCGAACGGGTACGCGAGCTGCGACAGCCGGCCAGCCCACGTCAAGCTCCATGCGTTCTGCAATAAGAGCCTCACGTACCTCAAGTACCGCGAGAGTCCGTGTGTCGAGGTCTTTGCCCTGGGCGCCCACGACATCTCCATGTGGCGGACCCTTGGTCACCACAACTGGACACGCGACGCGGTGCCGGCGCCGCACGAAGAGATGATGCAACATCAAGACAACGATGACGCGATCGATGAGTACACCAAGGACGGGCGAGCGTCACCGACGAGCCCACTCACGGACGACGAGGAAGAGAACGATCCGCACAGCTGCAGCGATCGCGACGACGACGACGAAGACGATGTTCAGGTGGAGCTCGAGCGCGTGCCGGTGGTGCCCCAGAACACCGACTTGCAGCCGCTCCTTGACGTCATCAATGCGACCGTCGGCAAGGGTGACAAGCTCTTCACGCTGGCCGACATGATGCACTTTTGCTGCGAACTCGAGTACCCGACCCGAGACGGGCGCGAGGAAGATGGCTGGTGCTAGGTAATGTAATAAACCCTGTTTATATTTTACGTGCACTGCGTGTGCCACGTCATACGCCGCCGACTGCAATTGGCAGAAGGCGTATGGTTTCGACCAATCACATGCGCCGAAGTCAATTCCGGAAGCTCGTTGGAACTTCGAACGGCTGCATGGACGAGGACGCCGCTGCATAGATAGGTATTATACGTACAAGTTCAATGTGAAAATGAAGGTACGCGTCCGATCCATCAAGCACGAGAGCACGCCCACCGTTGCAACACGAGCCGCAGAACCATTTCGACCTTGATTCAGAGTTTCTGGAACAAACCAGATCCGAAACACTTGTGGTTGACATTTTGTGGTTATATAGATTAGATAGTATTAGTACATCGATTTAGAGTGTGGTCGCGAGGTGGGAGCTCATCTCGCGGGTGCCGTTGGATGTCACTCGCGATGGCTCGGCGCGCTGGACGACGCGATGTAGTGCCCGCCGATGAATGTTCCCGCTGTCAGCACCAAGACGCTGCCTCGACTCTGCGCGTGGTGACCAGAGTCGAGTTGCTTGCAGACCTGCTTGGTGTCGGCAGTGGCGTCAGCTGTGAGGCCGTTGACAGCGCCGCGCCAGTGGCGGGCTGCGTGGCGAACGGTCGAGTTCATGGGTGCGTGCATCGGAGGTGGCGTTGATTCAACGAGGCAAATTGGAAACTGGCAATCTGGCTGCGCATCTCGATGACCATTAACGTTATTGGTACATTCGCAGTTCCATGCGACGATGTGCATGTTCCCTGCACACGGAATAAGCTTGACACGGGTGACCAAAGTAGGTCGGCAACATAAACCCGCCGCATCTCCGGAGACTCTTGGTTACTGCTTGTTACGACGGGGCCACACGAACCTGCTTGCTTTGCACGCTACAAAGACACGACGGCAGTTCAACGTTGGCCGTAGTCTGCTTTCATTCACACGGCCGCAGCCCGAGAGGTACTCACATGTCAGTACGAGCGACAAGCGCTCTCTCGTACTACCTTCAACTACAAGCATCGGGCTTTCGGACGTGTCGACGCATCCTTGCGTTCATATAGTTTGCCGTGCCTCCTCGCAATCTGCCAACAGCGCGTTCATTTTTTTCTACTACTAGTAGTGTGCGCGACGGTAGTCCTAGTATGCGCGACGGTAGTCGTCGTTATCTATCCAATTATAGAGGTCAAGAACTGAACAGTGAGACCTCGGCCTCGCCTCGGCGTGGCATCTGGGACCTCGGCGCCATGACCACGTCCATTATGATTTGTAAAGGCAGTTTGTTGTAGTCTGCTGCGCTCTCTTGGAGGCGAGAAGATGGCAAATATACGTATTTTCGGTTTTGTGTGTGCGATGGCAGTATCCAATTATAGAGGCACCTTTAGGCAGCGCTGCGTGCACAACCGAGGCTCGGAGCTCTAGTCTTCGCTCTCCATCGCAGTCAGTACCCGAGCAATCGGGTTCTTTTGTCTCCTTACATCATACGCCCTCTTTAGGACACTTGTGCCAAAGTTAATTCGAAGAGAGCCATGGAACAACCAGCCTGCTGTCCTGCAGATACCCAAGGGTTGCGCTTGGTTTTCGGCGCGTAGAGGCATCTCGAAGAGCAACATTGTATTGCTTACGCGTATGACTTGGCCGAGCAAGCACCGCGCGATGCAGAGCATCATTCATTGTACATGGCAGCGCTACGGGGTCGTCGGGTGTCGGATTGAGAATGTCGGTCGTTTTGATCGACGACCTTCATTCGACATTCGCGCCATGACCATGAATGCATCATTTTCCAACTGGCTTTGCCCACGACAATGAGCTCTGTTTTCCGCCACGCCGCTCGCCAGTGGCGCCGCACGGTCCACGCCAATGGCCGCCGCCTTACGACGGACGCCACGGCCGACGCCAAGGAATTCTACGGCCGCAAGCAGCATTGTCAGCCCTACTGGGACCACTCCCGGCACCACGGCGGCGGCGCCATCTTTGCGATCGCTACATTTGCTGGCGGGTACTGTATCGGATCGTCGTCGTCGTCGTCGATCGACCCGGGTCGTTGCGACTGGCAACAGGAGCTGCGCGACGACAACCGCGAGCTAAAGCGGCGTCTTGACGACCTCCAGCGCCTTGCAATGCGTTCCAACGCTACTGCGATAGCTGCGCCGTAACTATACCTATACTTTACGAACGACAATTGGAAGAAGCATGACGTGCCTGATCCTTACGAGAACCTACAATTTCTCTTGTCCTGTGAGTATGCAACACCCCAATTTGATGCAAAGGCGCTGCACGGTCTGACGTTCTATGACATTACGGTTGATACGACGAGGCGATTACACGCAAAGATGCAACTAGCGTTTCTTGGAGAGCCAGTTGATGCCGACGCCGAGGCCCACGACGCAGACGCCAAGCGCGACCGCCATCCACTGCGCCGAGCCCGTGTCCTTCTTGAACCGCTTGGGCTTGGTGAGCGATCGGTCCTTGCCGACGACAACTGCCGGTGCATCAAGGTCCAGCTTCTCGAGCGGCGCAGGTTCGTCGTTGGCGTCGTCAATGGGGTCCATGGGGGCCAACACTGGCGACGGAGGCGGCAGCTACACTCGGATATGATGCCATGGAAATCGTTGCAAAGACGTACGAGGGCCGACACGCGCTGCAGTACGACAGGGTGGTACGGCTCGCCCATCGTCTTGGCTTCCTTGCAGCCTTCCCAGACGTCCATGAGCACATTCATGCCATAGTAGTTTTGAATCTACAAGCGAGATAGTTGAGCTCAAGAAATGAAGAAAATATGCTTCTACCTCGGCCAGGACGTCGCAGATGGTGTAGACGTTGACAAGGCTCTCCACAAACGCCACCAGCCGCGGCAGTGTCGTCGGGTCTTCAATCTTCCACGCGCGGTGGCGAATGTGCAAGCGTGTCCTACCATCAACCATACAACCAACTCCCTTCACGATGCGTCGGTCATACCACAGCGCATGCCACTGCGGCTGCGAGGCAAAATCGTTCTGGGACCTGCAAGGTAGAATACGTCGAGTGCTGCAATACCACTCGAGGGTACATACCATTCGTTCACTGCGGCAAAGTCGCACGACCCTTTCAGGAAAAGGCTTTCGAGCACGAGTAGCTTTTGTCCGTCCGAGAGCTCATCGTACGCGACTTGGCTCAGCTCCATCGTCAGCACTGGGTCCACGGGCTGGCCGAGCCACTGGGCAATGTCACTCGGCGATGGGAGGTCGACTAGACGCGTCGTTTGGTGTGAGATGCAAGGAAGAGGTACGTCATGTCGCACCGAGAGCATGGTACCAGTGCTCCCACTCGATCGACAGCGGAATGTCTTCGACCAAGGTAAAATACTCTTCGCAGTACATCTTGAACTCTTCGCTCGTGACGCTGCCTGCCTCGAACCCTATTTCCACTCGTCAGATTCGTGTCTGGTTCGAGGGTGTCGTACCAGAAATGTAGGCCGAGACAAAAAAGTCAAACGTGTCCTTCCCGACCATGGCTTGCAGCGCCAAGAGGCAGAGGTAGCCCTTCTCCCGGGCAATGACGCTGAACCGATCCATCGAGTGGTGGTCCATGCGCTAGAAATCCAGATCCAGATCCACCCGCGAAGAAATGACATACCAGACGCGTGTTGGCTGGCGACTCGGTGTCGAATGCACGGCAGAGCTGGTTGTAGCCCGACCAGACAAGTTCTGTCGTCTCGACCTCGCTTCCGTCCAGCTGCTTGAGGAGTTCGAGCCAGAGGTACTTTGCCCAGCCTTCGCTCAGCCTACAACCGTCGTCACAATTTGAAAATCGGATTTTCCCATCGCACCAGACGTCGTGCCACGTTTCGTGCGGTGCAAGGAACGACAACCAGTGCCGGGCGACGCTTTCGACAAGAAGCGATCGCGCTACACGCAAGCATGAGCGTCGGTGGACCAGATATGCGACAGCGTACTCAGACACGTTTGGGTCGTCACGACCAGACACGGGTAGAGCGCGGTCTGGAAGCAGAATTCGGCGGGCACGATCACAATGTTGAGTTCCGACCAGACAAACTCATGGCCCGTGAGCGCCTCCGCGAGCTACGCGACGTGATACGACCGAGCGTCCTTGGTTGGGTCGTACCTCGAGGTGCAGCGGCAGCTGCGACACGGCGTCGAACGTCGCTTCGATTTCAATGTCTTCGGTCGCAAAAAGTGTTGACATTTGCGGCGCGAGCGAGAACCTGCGTGATCCCATGAGCCTTCGAGAGACAAAGCGGATGCGGATACAGCTCCATGGGCGCGACGACGAGCGCGAGCGCGTGCGATGGCACGGGCACGGTCTGCCGGTAGGTCCACGTCTGCATCCCATTCTCGGCCAGCGTCGGCGCGGCGCCTACGATCCCATGGCATATATCGAGATGTGAAGAAGAAAGAGGCAGCTCGCACCTCGCGTCGGCGCACTGACAACGGCAATCGTCGAGGTCAAGGTCGTGATCTCGGCCGTGTACGGGTACTTCATGCAGAGCGCGGCAGGAATCGGGAGCAGCGCCGAGGCGTACGACGGGTACGACTGCGTGACGAGCCAGGTGCCGCCGTCGCTGCTCTTGGTGTCGTCGAGCCAGTGGCAGGCGAGCCCGCTGGGCGCCGTCGAGTATGAGATGGCAATGCTACATGGCGATGACGCGACAGATAGATCGGTACTACGTCGTACGTGAAGGGCGCGAGGGTGTGGGGCGGGAGGTTGATGAGCAGCATCGAGTGGCCCGAAGGAACGGGGTTGGCGACGACCTGCGTCGCACTCTCGGCGCCGTTGATGCGCACGGCGCGGATGGCGAGGCCGTTGACTTCGAGCGGGACGAGGCCGTTGGTCGGCGCGACCGCGAGGGTATATGTCGCCGTCGCGTGCACCACGCGCAGGTCAAAGTCCACCGTGGCGGCCCAGTGCAGGTGCGAGTAGGCGCCTTCGGGCAGCGCTGCGTGCACGGCCGAGGCCACGGAGCTCCAGTCTTCGCTCTCCATCGCAGTCGGTTGAAACACCACGTGGACGAGGCAGGAAGTTGAATGCTGCATTGCAGCGATGCCATTGGCTGCGCCATTTTGGCGCCGTTAACTGGTGTGTATAGCCGACACTGGCGCGTTTTATACAAACCGGATTTGAACGTTTCGAACATTCGAGCACGAAGGTGCCACGAAAGCGACAGTCCGTCGACCTCACAAGGGCGCGAGGCAGTACACACGAGGCAACAGGAGTTGATGCTTTGCATGGTACATAGTGGAGACGATAGATATATCAAGTTGCAGGTGGGCGAGACTGGGCACGCGTAATGCTCGAGCACGTGGCGAAATCTCGTGTGTCCATGACGCAGAACTAGACCTCGGAGGTCGATCGGCAAGCTCCGAGCCATGCTGCTTGTTTGGATTCTGTTTCAGTATGCTAGCATCTGCTCGGATTTAACTTTTTCTGGTGCTGCCTTGGTTGCTGCGTTAGCAAACGGAACGCCAGTGCAGCCTCGCTGCAAGCCCGGTTCCTGGTCAACTACTCGTCTGCGCTCTACACACGTCGAACTAGGCGGGGTCTGGTGATGCGTCCGGTCGTGCGTGCACTGGCACACACAAATGTTACATCACCTCCGATCCTGGACGCAGCTGTTTTAAACACTGCAACCGGCGGCATCCGTAGGCGGGTTTTTGTAAACGACTCGGATTGTGGCCACACCCGCAGAACGGCCGGCTTCTTGAACCGACTGTTGATGTTTGCGCTCGGTCGACGTCGCGCGACCGCTTGTGGCCGGCGATGGCTGCACGCTCCGGCGCTCATGCTCTCGAGCGCCGAGGCCATGGAGACATTCGGTGCTGGCCTTGCGGCGCACGTGTCATGCCCTTCGACCATCTTCCTCGTCGGCGACCTCGGCTGTGGCAAGACGTGCTTCGCCCGCGGCTTCGTGCGCGCATGGACGGACGACGCCGATATGCATGTCACATCGCCGACGTATCTGCTCCTAAACACCTACGACGACGCGACCATGGCGCGGTGCGCATTGCTTTTCAAACGACGCCTGTGCTGAGATGATGATAGATCGCTGTATCACATGGACCTCTATCGTCTCGACAGCGTCTCTGCTGTCGACGCCAAGGCCATGGGCCTCGAGGACGCGTTTGCGTCGAGCGTCAACTTGATCGAGTGGCCCGACCGGCTCACATCTGACCTTGTGCCTGCAGACCGCCTCGAGGTCCACATTGCGTACACCGATACGGAAGACGAACGAGCCGTGGAGCTCAAAGCCTTTGGTCCGTCATGGAAAAGCGCGCTTCGCTGGTTCGAGGCTACGCAGGCTCAGTGATAGGTAGTAGATCTAATCGAGGATGGTAGAGTCCCAGTGGTCCTACTGTGTTGTTATTTGCCGTCGTTGCGGTCTGGCGATTGAAAGCATAGCCATTAGCCTCGTGCGATTGAGGCGACCTCCTCCATTCCACAACGCGCTACTCGGATTGCATGCACGAGCAAACAAGGCCTGAGTATGGAAAAGCAGGCTCGTGGTCGTATTAGTTGGTGGGCGGCTGGTACGTATTGGCGTCGTTCCACTCGTCGATCTTCTTCTTGATGAACTCGATCACGACAGGGCTCGGGTCGATGAAGAGGTGTGTGTCATCGAGGTCCTGGATGATAAACTTTTTCTACATGGCAGCGTGAGCGGCCAAGCGTGTCGCCGTCGATGTCGCACCTGACCGGGCGCTGCGTTGAGGTGCTTGAGGTACTGCTTCGTCGGCGGATCGCTACGGCCATCGTTAGCCCACACGCTTGCGGCGGCCATCGACGGCTACGCACCACTTGACGAGCACGCCGGCGCTCGCGTCCACGCCGCTGCGTCGCATTGCTCAACTCCACCCCAGGCACGATATCCGGACATCCGGATATATCTCTTGAATCCTTTCACAAACAATATATATAGACATAGAGGTTATTGACCATGGCAACACGCACACTGCACCAAGCACGCGAGTCGTTGGATTCGAGAAGCAAAATTGCCTCCGAAGGTGAACCGCAGAAGGTGTGCTTGTGGTGAGACCAATGTGTGCCTCTTTGACAAACAGTTTGATACTGCTGCCAGGTCTCTGCTCGCGGATCGCAAGAGGGTTAGGTGTACTTGCCAATTGAAGGTACTACAATTGTATAACTATGCCTTGGCTGGGCGTCGCGCCACATGTACAGCACGTTCCAATCGTGCGTGTCGGGTGTCACCGCCGCGCCTTGATCGTCGATGGAAGGCGAGAGCCAGATGCCGACCGACGTCCGGTTGGTGGAGGGAACAAGCTCCGTTGCATCGTACAACGTCAAAATGCCCGTACGAAAGGTTGCTTGGTAGCCGCCAATGACAGCATTAAGTTCTGTTTGGTCGGGATACCGCCCGTTAGGTGGTACAAAGCGTGTGACGCTGTGCGCGCAAGTCAGCACTTGTCGGTGACGTACTAGTAGCACCTTGCAGGTGTTCGGCTGCACGCGCAGACGCGTAGTGACGACGGTAACCTGGTGCCAGTCGCTGACCAGCACGAGGTTCGACTGGCCACGCCTTTAGCTTGCCGCGCGCGGTCCTTGCCGACGAACGATTTGTTTTGGTACTCGCCAGGATCCCAGGATCGCCGCCCAAGATACCTAGCTATCTTGTGCCGCCATGCATGATCTTGCTCGTTTCAACCCTGGACCTGGGACCCATGGTTGACGCTCTAGCGATCTCCTCTCGCGGCGACCACTGGCAGTCCCGACCAACGAGACAACCTATAACGACGACCACACACTTGACACCTTGGTCCTCAACGTTATTCGCTGGCTCATCGCAGTCCCCAGCGTAGCGCATTTCGCCTACATTAATTCGCTGGCTTCATTCTCCAACACACGGCCGTAGACCATCTCGAGGTGCAGGTCCGTCGACTCGGCATGGACGCTGGCGATGCGGCGCGTCG